TCAATAATAAAAATGCCTAATTCTCTTATCTGCTGTCCTTTGCCCCGAAGCAAAAAAAGTACAATGGGAACAATAGATGTTTATCTCTCGACGCCGTTGAGGGTCTACATAGCAAGAATTTGTAACGTAAACAAAATTCCATAAAAAAGTAGAAAAAAAAAGATTAATTTTCTTGGACGAAATGCTGTACAAATCTTTTACTATTTCCTATACCGAGTGTTAATTTAAACGTATAGGTACTTATTACAATAAATATTTACTGATGCCCTGACATTAATCATCTCAAATGTCCGAAATACTTCCTTCCTCAGAAGAGAAGGGGCTCCGTGAACAAAATGTCTCCTCTTACCAAAATAAAGCAAATAATTGGCCCGATGCGAACATTTTTGTCGCCCCGCATAAAAGAATAGGTGCGTAACATTTGGGTATGTTATCTAAGTACAGGTGAATTCTGACAAAAATAGGCAACTTCCAAATTTTTAAATTAATTTGTTAGTCATTCTGATAACATCAGTGTGAGTGTGATTTTTTTTTCTCCAAAAAAACGATTTTTAAAAAAAAAAAATGATTTTGTTAACAGAGCCCCCCCAAACCAAAATCCTGGATACGCCAATGAGTACGGAATGTACCACAGTTCTGAAATATTAAGTTGGTTGGGTAATATTTTATGGTAATATGTACCACATTTCTAAATTCTCCTTTTTTTATTATATTTATTATATGTGTTGGCCAAATTGGGTTTGGGTACCTTGCTTGACAACATTACACCTTGACAACCTTGCATGTGATTATGCTGGGTTATGTGATGAGTCAATTATGTCATACTCCCCCAATTACTCCCCTAACTACCTCGCCATCAAATCCTGGGCCTGCGCATGAAATCACTATCAGCAGCTTATAGTGATGACGTCACCCGCAGACCGCGATGGAATGCTTGCGATTCAGGCTGTTCTAGTGAGTTAATTTTTTGTCGATTTCAAATGTAGAAAAGGTGATTTTCGGTTCGTTCTCACGGAAGAAATAAAGTGTTCTTGATCTTCCAGTTTCCTAGAATTTGATGGTGGGGGAGTTGGGGGAGTATGACACAATTGACACATCACATAATCCAGCATCAAAGTTACAAAAGAATTTTATTTCAATTTGATTAAGAACCCACAAAGTACCTTAATAAATTTATTAAATAGTTTTATTTGATTTCCTTTTGCTCCTGTTGCTGTATTTTTAATGCAAAGATCTATTTTCAAGTTTTCAACATTTTGCGCTCTCGAAAAAAATCATATTTTTTCTAGTAAATATGTACTAAAAATGTGTATTATGTAAGGTAATGCGTACTACAAGTATTCGTGACGCGTACGTCCCTGTACGACAGTTTTTGAGCCTTCTGTACCACACTTCCATATTTTAGAGTCTGGCAACGCTGGACAAAATATCACACACACACACACACCACTTGTATAATTCTCATACAAAGTTATGTAAATTTAAATTACATGATACTGGATATTACCACATGGAACATGGAACGAACATTAAACACGTTTGTACTTCCGCATTCCCCACGAGAGTTCCCATGGGTGCTCCGCACCCATGAGAGCTTTCTCATGGGTGCACCTGCCCCGATGCCCCCATGTAGTCGGCGCCAGTGATCTTACGTCATAAACCCAATACGTCCTCTGGGTTTCATAACTGTAGGTCAAGTAGTTTGGCTTGTGTATATGTATGTATAGCTCTGCGACATCCCCCCTCTTAACAAAAAATAAATAAATTATGACCCAGATCTTTCCTTTGTTTTGCGAAATTCACGAATCAATATCTGCTGACCTATTCGAAAATCTGGAAATTTCCTACCTGAATTTTTATAGACTTTAGTATTGAATTTTATTTGATTTTCTTTTGCTTGTGAAAGCCAATTTTCTTTTTCTTCCGCCGTATTTTCCAATTTTTTAATATTCGGATTCTTCCATTCTCCAGGCCTTATAAGAGTATGCCCAAACAGCAATACACTGGGAGCAATTCCCGAGGCTCGGTTTTTTCTGTTGTTTATCGAAAATAAAATATGGTCGCGTTCGCCAGCATGTCAATAATCCACAGCAGATTTTACGGGAACAAGTTCGATCGCGGTTCTTTCGGAATTTGCATGAATAAATTACGGCTATATAAAGGTCGCTATTGGTTTGTAGTTTTTAAGTTTAAGTTTAAGTTTGGCTATTATACGATTTAGTTAGTGATTATTGTTGAGAGTTGTAATCTTTATCGTACTGGTTAAAAGCTGCTGACATAGACTGAATCCTTAATTCCTTAAAGCTTTTTTCAGTTCCTGATTTCGCCTTTCTACTGGATTTGCTCTTTGATGATAAATCGGAGTTGTATAATGTTCTAAAAATAAACTGTTCAAAAAATGTTGCCTTTCGTTGCTTCCAAACTGCGGACCGCAATCTGTTATCTTGTATCACAGAGATTCTGGAAAACCCCATCTACCAAAAATATTTTCGAGAAATTTAATGAGAACAGAAATTTTCCTAGACTATAGTTGTGTACTGAAAAAAAGAAATAGAATTCATGCATGCAAAATATAGCGTAAACAAACGAGAGATAAAATAAACAAAGGTAGTAGGCGACAACCGACCGACGTACGTAGGGGAACAAAGGAAGACGTTCGCTGCATACAGAGTCGGGTAATAGCTGATTTAATAGTTAATTTGGGTGTTTTATTTAAATAATAAATAAGTGAGAATAGTGGACACTACAAATGTTATTCGGTATGATTAGGGCTCTCGGGAACAGGGTAGAACGCATAATCCGATTGAGTTCATTTTTGGTATACATATAAAGGCCGCTGAAAGAAATTTTTCCAAGAAAAAATTGACCTTAGCCGCGACCTTGACCGTGACCATTGGACCAGTGAAATTCACATAAATAACAATTTATCGTGCTAAAATTATGTATAGCGCCCGAAGAAGGCATCATGAAATTACCCACACACCGAGTTTTAGCCTTCAAGGTCATACATATTCAGAGATACGGCAACCACGCATTCTCAGTTTGGGCTCTCGGGAATGGGCTAGAAGGCGTAGTCCAATCGAGTTCATTTTTGTATACATATAAAGGGCCGCTGAAAGAAATTTCCCCAAAAAAAAAATTGACCTTGGCCCGTGAACTTGACTGTGACCTTGACCAGTGAAAATTCACGTAAATATCTATTTATCGTGCTGAAATTATGTACAGAGGTGTGGGCCCAATTTGGACACTTTTATTAGATCATATTAAATATTAATTACTTATCTAAAAACTGGTATAGTGTACTGATTAAACAACGACACCAAGCGCGACAAGCTAGATAAAATAAAAATGTTCAAGGATCCCAGCATGCATTTCAAGAATGGGTTAATTTGTTTTGCATTATTTTGTAATTCTCGATTAGATAGGTTTACGGGGACTAGCACGCAGTACAAAGACGGGTAAGTTTGAGTTAGTTTGCATATTTTTGATCAGTTTCGATATAGCACAGTTATTGTCGGTTAAAGATGTACCAATTTCAAAAGTTCAGTAGATATTATACGCTTTATCATTACTCAATAATGTTTTTTTTTCAAAAAATGGTTTGAACACTTAGCTCTTCTCTTCATTTCGAATATCTACCACATGATGCCTTTTTACGTTTAATAAATTTTTATCTGCTTAAACAGAGCGATTGTGATATTACGCTGATAAGAATAGATATTATATATTGATCTGTATTCAAAGGTCGAGAAGAGGATTCATTCAATATTTATAAAATCCAATTTATAGTTATTTGCGCCAACATTTTCGATCATAAAACAATATTTTGGGATCAAACTAAACGATCTATAATGAAGAAGCATGATATTTTTTTGAAGGACCTTTACTGAACTGTCAACCTTTTACGGCCTTTTATATGTATAGCCAAAAATGAACTCAATCGGACTAACGCCTTCTACCCTATTCCCCGAGAGCCCAAAATGAGAATGCAGAGTTGCCGTATCTCTGAATGTGTATGACCTTGAAGGCTAAAACTCGCTATATAGGTTACTTGAGATGCTTTTCAACACTATACAAGTTTTCAGCACGTTAAACTGCCATTTACGTTAATTTGATGGTCAAGGTCAGGATCAAAGTCACAGTCAAGGTCAAATTTTTTTTGGACAACTTTCTTTTGTCGTCCTATATAGGTATGTGTACCAGAAATGAACTTGATCAGAAAACGCCTTATAGCCCGTTCCCGAGAGCCCAAAATTTACCTGTTATTCTTATGACCGTATTACATCTGTGTATTTTCCGTGTATTTATTCATGTAGTTCAGGGCGCCAACATTATTTTATTTTTCATAATGCTGATTTATGTTGCGTTTGAAGTTTTTCGATTGTCACTCTGAACTACATGAATAAATACACGACAAATACATAGATGTAATACGCGCATTAGAATAATAGTTATTTATGTATCAAGGATACTAAGTAGATGATTATGCCCTGAGGGCGACAGTCTTACAAAGCCGAGGGCCTCTGGCCCGAGGGTTCGTAAGTCGCCCGAGGGTATATATATCTATTAGTACCCGTGGTGCATACAAACTTTTATGTCATACCAGTTGGTTGTGAATAATAAATACCAGGAAAAAAAGTGTCACTTCGCAAATTGTCATCAGTGTGCAAACATCATCATTTTTTGACAAAAATAATATGTTTATAAGCGTAAATTTATATTTTGTTAATAAGGAATAAGTTAAATGAAAACTGTTTTTTGCATCTTTATGCCCGCGCGAGCCATAATGTGTACTTTATGCCCGCACGGGCACAAAGTAATGAATTATGTAGATGGTATCTGAGGTATAAAAACACAATAATGTATTGGTATGACATAAAAATATTTAAGTATTAGATGTTTATGTGATATGTCAGGTAGTCATCCAAACAGAATACTAAAATAATACCTACCTATTCAATAACATTTAAGTCCATTTACAATAATCTGTGAAAACTTACCACTAAAGCTATTGTACAACATAAAAGTAACTTTTCAAATAACATTTTTTGCACTCTTTTAATTAAATTTTTTTTGTGAAAAAATAATTCACTTCACGCTACAATGATGTCAATAATGATCAATAATGATTGCTACGCAATGTTCTATGCAGGTACTTGAATAAACTAATTTAATAATCAATAAAAAATTATTATCGTAATTTTTTTTGAATTCACCACTTGCTACTTAAGAGGTTTGTTTTGTTTATTGTTTGTGAATAATTTATATTTTCGATTCAGAAACTTGTATTTTAAAAAAACATTTATTTTATTGATTAAAATACAGAGGTGACAAAGGAAAATATGTGGATCAAATTGCTACAGCAAAAGCTCAAAACAAATGAACGTTCCTTATGGGACTGCGCTGGTTTAAATAAGAATTTAATGCCGATATAGCAATTTGGTATTTACTTTAAAACAATGTATTTGGAAAGTCATAGAGGAAAGGCTAACCACATTGAAGCATATAAAAAATGGATATTTAATTATAAATCAGCGTGGCAATTGGTTAATATAACTCCTCCCTCCTTAAGATGTTGCAAACGTAGATTGTTTTGAATTCAAATCAGACAATTCAATTTGCACATTTGCCCAACCTTGTTCTGAAGTTTTAAACATCCCAAAACAGTAAAATAATAAAATTATAAATGAAATAGCAAGACTTAAACCTATGATTACATATGTGTTCAAATAAGAGTTTTCAAAAGACAATTCTTTTAGATTGTGAACTCCTATCTGTTCCGTCGTCTTGAAGGCTTCTTCCAAGTTTTCTTGGTTGATTTCTTGAAGTTCCAATGTTGTTTCGTTCTCTGGAAGTTCAGGGATGTCTATTTTTGGAATCTTCGGTTCAAAATTGAAGTTCTCGCTGGTTTTTGAAAAATTTTGATTTTGTATTTGCGGCGCGGGGATAATATCCAATAATTTTGAGCAAGTAAAAATTGCATCGTTTGCAATCCAGGATGAAAGTTTTTCTTATGAGTATCCTCAATAATCAGTTCTGTAAAAGGACAAGAGCAAGGCAAAATTATTGGAAATTTTTTATCATAATTTAATAAAGAATTCTGTAAACGACCTCCCACTCGTAGTATGCCCTTTTCGTCTAAAAAGGCGGCTAATTTTCGAATTCGTTTAGGGGGTAGGTTTTCATTGAAAATGTTTTTAATTTCTGGAGAATAATGGAGTTCTTGAACATGTTTAATTATAAAGAGAAGTGCGTTTTGAAAATCGTAATCTGAAAAATGATCAATTTGCCTTGCGTCCCTATTTTTAATATTGAAAATAAATCCCAAAAAATAGCATTTAATTCTTAAAATTTTATCTAAGGAAGAATATTTATCAAGAAACAAATCTACAAATTTTAAGGAATCGAAAGTGGTGAGAGCTGTTGTTTTAGCTTCCTCACTAATATCTAGAGTTGGTGGGGTGTTACTTATCGGCCAGCAATTATGGGACAATTTTAAAAAAGTAGGACCAGTCCACCATTGCTCAAAACTGACAAACTCCTCAGGAAAAAGTCCTCTGGAAGCACAATCAGCAATATTGATATTTGTAGATACATGATCCCAAATTGCGTATGGGATATTTTCTTGGATTATTGAGATACGGTTAGCAATAAAAGGTTTCCATCGATGAGGTGATGAGTTCAGCCAGTGTAACACAACTGTTGAATCGCTGAACGCGTAAATATTCTGAAATTCTATTTTTTCGGAGAATGCCTTCAATAAAAAGTTCAACAATTTTGAAAGTAATAAAGCTGAACAAAGTTCAATTCTTGGGATTGTTAATCCTTTAAGCGGTACAAGTTTAGATTTTGCGGATAATAGAAAAGTTTTTATGTTATTTTTATAAATAATTCGAATGTAAGCACAAGCGGCATATGCTTTCGTTGAACCGTCACAAAATCCACATAAATCAAAGCTAATTGCATTTTCAGACTGTAGATAGCGCGGAATTTCAATTGAGGAAAGACAAGGCAATTGAAGTTTGAAAGTTTCCCATTGGGTTAAAATATTTTGCGGAGGGGTTTCATCCCAATCTAGTTTTATACGCCACAATTTTTGTATGATGATTTTAGCAACTACACTTACAGGCGTTAAATAACCGAGAGGGTCAAATATCTTGGCCAAATCAGAAAGAATTGTTCTTTTTGTACAAGTGTCTTGAACACCACTAACCGCATAAAAAAATGAGTCGGAATTAGGATTCCACTTTAAACCCAAAATCTTTATGCTGGATGTCGAATCCAAATCGAATACAAATGCTTCATTTTGAAGATGATCTTTTGGTAAATGCGACAAAAACTCGTGGCTGTTGCTGGCCCATTTGCGCAGCTCAAATCCTCTTCTCTTTAGCAAGGAAATCATTTGAGTTTGAAGCATTATAGCAGTGGATATATCTTTACAAGATGTGACCAAATCGTCAATGTATACATCAGATAGCAATATTTGAGAAGCGAATGCATGGTTTTTTTGTTCGTCCACAACTAGTTGTTGTAGAGTTCTAAGTGCAAGAAATGGAGAAGAATTGATGCCAAAAACAACTGTTTTTAATATATATTGTTTTAGAGGTTCATCTTGAGAAAATCTCCAAAAAATTCTTTGATATAAGTCCGCATGCGCTGGATTCATTAGAATTTGTAAATACATACCTTTTATGTCTGCGGTTATAACAATACGATGTAATCTAAAATTCAAAAGAATGGTAGAAATGTCCTTTTGTAATTTTGGACCTATCAATAAAGTATCGTTTAAAGAAATAAGTTTTGAATCTTTCGCACTAGCATCAAAAACAATTCTAGTTTTTGTGGTTATAACGTGGGGTCGGGAAATACAATGATGCGGGAGAAAATAGGCTTGATCGTTATCTTCTTTTGCTAGCTCCATGAAACCATTATTTAAATAATCTCGCATGAAATTGCAATATTGTTCGCGAAGTTCTGGATTTTTCATCAACCGGTTTTCCATGGAGAAAAATCGCTTTAACGCAGGTAGTTTAGAATTTTCAAAGTTCGGCAGGCTTTTGGAATCCCTGAACGGTAATGAAACCACATATCTTCCCGATTCAGTCCTGTAGGTAGAGTTACAAAATATTTTTTCACATTTTTCTTCATCGGGTGCTAAAAGCTTTTTTGAGGGTACTTCCTCCAAGTCCCAAAATTTTGTTAAAGTATCATTTGAAATATCAAATTTATTTGTTGTAAAAAAAGCATTGACGTGCCGAGAAGTATTTTGCTGATTACCCATGACGATGTACCCGAAAGTGGTATTGATAAACGTGGGCAAATCATTGTTAATAGAAATTCTACCATCAAGTAATATCTTTTGGAATAGGTTTGCACCTAAGATTATATCTATCTGACTACAAATATTGAATGAGTCATCAGCTAGCAATAAATTAGAAATAAAAGACCATTTGCTTATGTCAAAATCAAAATGCGGCATTTCAGAACATAGCTTGTCCATAACAATCGCGGTAAAATCGTAAATCGGCTCATTTCTATTTAAGGGTTTAATGGAGCACTCGACGGTACCTCCACTGACCAGTTTTTGCATACCACCCAAACCTTTTATGTTTAATGATATTTTATTTAATTTTAGACCTAGTTTTTGTGATAGTTGTTTAGAAATGTACGACGATTCACTACCAGAATCTACTAGAGCGCGCGCTACAATAAAATTTCCGAGATTATCTTGTATGTTTAATTGAATTGTAGAGAGTAGAACATTTGATGTATTAGCTAGATTGCAATTTGAATTCACAACAGGAATATTTTCAGAATGCGGTGTCATTGTACAATATGATTCAGAATTTTGCGGCGTTGACGTCTGTTTATTTTGAAAATTTGTATTTTGATTATTTTGTTCAAAGCTTCTATTTTGTACGAAATCGTTATCATGTAATAATAAGTATATGATGCTTGCGAGATTGCATTGTTTGCAAGTAAATGTAGATTTACAAAATTTAAAAGCGTGTGAGTTACTCAAGCAGTTAGCACAAAGCTTATTTTGCTTTGTTAAATTATAACGGTCTTTTACCGACTTATTTAAGAAAAATGGGCATTTATAAATTAAATGTTTATTTGGCCTACAAAAAATACAGGGGTAGGTTTCAGAGTTTGGATTAGAAAGTCGCGGTTGCTCGGTATAATATGTGCGCTGAGGCACTGTGGCTTTTTTATTAGTGCGTGAATTGTAATTTGAAGTTGCATTTGCATTTGATGAAACAGTTTCTAGAGCAATACATTGTTTGTTTGGAAATTCTATGATGTCATTGAAGGCTGGCATATCTGTAGACGCATGAACCCAGATAACACAAAACTACATGAAAAGTACTTCAATTGTACTGTATTTTCACATTTGCGTGCCTGAGCAGTACTTGTGAAAACCACTCAGCCGCTTCTGGGATGTCCAGCCGGCCAGTAAAAAAAAGGCGCAATCGTAGAAGCACTGCAATTGCGCACTTCCAACATGGAGTGCTCTAAGTGCTCCAAGCGTACGTTGGAAGTATTCGTGAAATGCTACATAAAAGCACTTCTCCGACAGAGAAAAAGCACCACTAGAACATCTTTTTTTGGTAAATTTATATTGTACTCTTAAAGTACTTCATTGAAGTATTTTTTGAGTACATTTTTTATTTCACTGATAGCCCATTGCAAATAAAAAACAAACATTTTGAAATTATGATCTTTTAATAAATAAACATAGGAAACATAAATAAAAAATAAAATAAAACATATTCATTTCTTCTAAATAATTCTTCTTCGCTTTTCCTGGTACCTACCTGAAAAAGAAATCATACTTAAATTAAAATCTCCTATACGAGACACAGAGGGCACCAAATAAAATGAGTTTAATGGGGTTTTTGGAAACTATTAAAGTACAGGGGGTACGTGGCTCAAATGAGAAAATAAGATGCCCAATTAAAGACTTATTAATTCATACATATCGGAGTCGTTTTGGGGATGGAAAATCTGAAATGACAGATTTCAAATTTGGCAGCTTCGTCGGGTACCTACCTAAAGGGAGAAACGTTCATCTAATAAAGTGAACTTATTTTGCAATAAATTCTTGTCGTATAGGCCCTA